ATCCAAAGAAATTAGTGGGTTTATTAGAAATAATTATTGAGATAGTTCGGATTAGTTAATGATTATGTGATTGGACTGCCGGGTGTGCCCGGGCTGAATGACTGGTTGATTTCTGTGCCCAATTGTTGGGAAATTGTATAATGCCATGTCGTGTGACCGAGTGGCCAATCAATGCGGAGTGTGATTGGCCAATTGATGGCATGAATTTGACTGGGTGCTTAGACTGGGTGTTGCTCGTGGTGCATTATACTACATTGCATGGTCACGCATTGTGAATGCCGAGAGTGAGGCATGTGATAAATTGTACGAGAATGCGTGCCTGCCATGAGCATGTGATCACTTAATTAAATTATGCCCAAATGCATTACGTGGGGCTCCGATAAAATTGGCAGTGTGCCGTGTGATCACTTAAGGCCTTCCGGTCGTGGCCTTCGGGTCGTGCCGTCCTGAGGCGTTTTACGCGGGACGATGCCCGGTTCGTCCGGAAGACGACCAACCTGATGCGTTTTATGCGGGCTCTGGTTCATGAGGAGATCGGTGTTGTGCCTGATGCGTTTTACGCGGGCTAGAGACACCGGGCCATGAGCGCTTTGGCGAGGGCCGTGAAGTGTTGTTGGCCTTCGGGTCGTGGCCTACGGGTCAATTAATAATGTCTAAAAATGAGCATTGTGCCAGCGTGCATCGTGTGAACTGAATCCTGAGCATGGCAATTGTGTGCCGGTGTATGTGGCTAATATGTGTACCGGTGATTGAGTACGAGGCAGACACTAATGAGCATGAGCATGCGTATGGCGCACATGTGATTGAGTATGATTGCGCCTGTGCCGTGATTATCGTGGTAATATAAAATGCCTAACCTGCAGGGTCAGCCAGGTAAGAGATTTGGGCCAGAGGGCCTAGGTCGGAGGTTATTCATGAGTAAAATTGCTGTGTGACTGTGTGTCCTGATCAAGAGATTGCATGTTAGCCTAACCTAGGTTTAGGGGGTTATACTCACTGAGATTCGTCTCATGGTTGTGTAAACCGAAACATTTCAGACCCCCAGCCGTAGGATGCCGAGGAGAGCGCCTCTTTTTGGTATACCGCAATTCATCCAGCGGTCATCTAGTGTGCACCCTTGTGGGGACGGACCTGCAGCCATGGTCGAGGAAGCTGAGGAGCCCGAAGTGATATACGCTGACCCTTTTTGACTAAGTGGCTGTTGACTGTGTGTTTTCTCGACTGTTGTATAAATGAATTTTGTAAAAAGTTTCCTATGGTAATACTAGTATACATATTTTCAGAGGTGCTGTTTGCTTATTGTACTACATTGGTCTCATGTGTTTTATTGTCAGGGTGTATATATATATATATATTTATATACGTGCTTTCGCATGTGTTTGATCTCTGATTGGGCGTTGGGTCGGCGATGCTTCCTGGGAGCGTCGCACCATAATCGACCGTGACGGGATGTTGCGTTCCAATGGGGTACGGAGCGTGACAACCCTCACTTGGATCTGGTGAGGGGCGACCTTGCTAGCCTCGGACGAGGGCGACCCTCGCCAGTGGTTGCCTTTGGCCGATCATCAGCCATCGCCTAGGCCTAGTGACCGGCTAGAGGAAGAAGAAGGGAGGAAAAAACAGAAAAAGAAAGAAAAGAAAAGAAAAGTGTAAATAAATAAATAAATTGAAAAAAATTAAAATTTTATTAAAAATTATCAACGTTAGCGTCAATCATGCCACATAGGACAGTTGACATCCACGTTAGCGATTTCTAGCCAAAATTGATTGGATAGACCCAATTGGCAAAATGTAAAAATGTTTAGGACTCAATTGGCAAAATTAAATGGTTAAATTAGCAAAGGTGCAGTAAGTTTAGGACTTTTTTGACAATTTTCCCAATTATCTCATCTTCATTTGCAAGTTATTTTGCATGTGTGGCCAAATTGCTGGGCTCCAAAATTGCTCCTCTAACATATAAATACATGCACAAACACAAGCTTTTTCTTCGATTAGCCTTTAAAAAAATAGAGGTGCGGGTTAGCTGTGCTCCTTTATTTGCTCCCGTTAAAGGCCACTAAGGCATACATAAAAGGCAGATGAGAGAAAGCAAAGTGCTCAATGAACGGTGAGTTTCCAAGGAAAATGAGATTATATTTCTCACATCAAACTATGCAAACAAGTTGGATGACAAAATGGGGCAGAATGTAAAAAGTCTGACCAATCAAAAGAACAAATATACACATACACATATAAATGGAATCGCAAATGGAGTCCTCATTCTCTCACGGGGGATTAAGCCTCTCTAACTTCGAGAATTTAGGGTAAGTATGTTGATGTTGATTGTGACAGATAAAATAAACCTTAGAATTAAATACCTTTAGATGTGTAGATTTCAGAATGACATGCTTGATTAAATTGAAAGCGTGGTTCTATTAGAGTATTTAAATGTTATCCATACCTTTTTTTTTTTACAGCTTAAACTTTTAGAGCAGTTGATAATGATCGTACAAAATTATATATGGTATCGGAATAAGAGATTATGAATTTAGATATTTTTAGATCCATATTTACCTGTCATATTATATATTTTTCATGCTTTAATTTGAAGTTAAAGTCCAACTTATGCATGAAGGGGAGTTGTAGACACTTGGTTCGATCAACCCCGTTCAGTGGCTAGCCTTCTTTGACTTAGGCAAACTGCTTTGCTTTGCAAGTCTACTTTGATGTACTTTTTTTTTTCCTAATGGCATTAGTTGCCTAACAGCTTTCAACAATGTGAAGCCCGAACCCACGGGTGTAGGCCTCAACCCGCGGGTCTAGGCCCGAACTTGCGATCATGTTTTAAAACTTGTCTCTTCTCTTGTCTTCACGGCCCGAGCCCAAGTTATGAGACAAGAGATTAGGCCCGGCCCGGATATCTCCGACCACCCTATGCCTATATGTTATAGGCAAGGTTTAACACATCATGGCTTTGATGAAAGAATCATTCGAAATTGTTGCAGATAATTAGGAGATTCATCATCTCTAACATGAAAGATAATTCCAACCTTAATGGTTCGGAGTCTTTTGGATCCCTAGAATGACGAACTGACATGGCGTACTAAACTCTGCTTAATAATCAAGTTCAATCAATTGTAATGCGTACATTAGTTATAAAAAATGTGTGGGCTTCACATGCCATGAAGAATTTGAGACGGATACGGTTATTTGTCTAGTCATCGATACACCCCATGACGGGCCTAGGCAGGCTTGAGCCGGTCCATTTGGGCCCAAACAGTTGCGTTGTTGCACCCAAGCCCGAACTTGCTGGCCTAGTTAAGAGTATAGGCCCACCACAAGGTCCACTTTCTTGTCACACAAATAAGATAATAAAGGTCCGTTTGTTTCGCGGAAAATGAATAATTTGAATAACATTTTTTTTAAAAATGGTCGCTTATATCGCTTATAAATATAAATGAACGAAAAATACTTTCATCGTCTATGAAAATGTTTATATATAAATTGTTGTCGATAATGCAAACGTTTTTCGTCGACAAATTATTTTAAGCGATACAAACGATCATTTTTAAGAAAATATTTTTCAAATCATTCTTTATTTGCAAAACAAACAGAGTCGACATTTCAAATCCAAAGGTAGATTAAGAATCATGACGCCCAATAGAAACTACTATTCTTTTATTTTTGCACGAGTGGGGTTTCCATTAGCGATTCAAATCTATTGGTGCATAAATATTAATCAGAGCGGAAGAATCCATCTCTCATGTTCAATGTGTGCATCTGCTCAAAGGCCCAAGCACTAAATGATGCCCTAGATGGGCCTCGTCTCGTACATGTCATGTCATGTCATTTTTGCTTATGTATTTTCACTTGTATGACTTTTTCCTTGGTGGGAAATCCAAGGGAAGGACGTGATTCAAAGTTAAACTAGCACATTTATTTCATAGAAAATAAATAATTTAAAAAATATTTTCCTAAAAAGCAATTGCTTGTACCGCTTACAAAAAAATGAATAGTTAAACACAAATTATCATGGATAAGAAGAATATCTTTAATTTACTAATTATTTTAAACGATTATTTTTAAGCGAATGTTTTCCAATTGGTGATATTGTTATCTGTCTAGGCCTCTCCGTCCTACTCATGTGTAATGAATGGTTCTTATGGATTCCGAAGTATAAAAGGACAAAAAACAGAAAACTATTGGTAAATAAGCTATTTCGGCCAAAATGCCCCATAACCGAATATTACGGGTATCAAATCAATGGAAAAATGACAAAAATGAATCATAAACTTTAGCTTAATGTGCAATATTATTTATGGACTTTTAATTTATTCAATGTTATCGCTAAACTATTGATAAATGTTCGAGGTGATCATTCATTTTGCCAAAATGATAAATTAGACGTTATTTGATGACCTTGATTATTATATGGTTAATTGAATGTTTAAAAATGATGAGTTAACATGTTTATCTTTTTATCCATTTACTTAAAAAAAGGAAAAATAAATTTAGGGCGTTAACATGTCTATTGTTATTTGGTTACGTTGATTATTATATCCTAATTTGAGATGAATATCTTACATGGATAGTCCACGCATAACCTTTTGTTTTTAGTCTACCGTTTAAACTTAATGGATTGGAAGCCACATCAGCACATTTCGTTAATTTTAATTAACCAAAAGATGATATTGAACATTTTTATATAGTTTAAGGATTAGATTGATCATTTACCAATGGTTCAGGGATCATATTAAATAAATTAAAAGTTTAGGGACGACATTGCATTGAACCAAAGTCCATAAATCATTTATGTAATTTTCCCAATAAAAACATTAAAGACCACCATAGGTGATAATAGGTAGTACACGAGTGTAACAAGTTAAAACCTTTGGTAGGCATAATTCAACGTATCAAACGCGCACACATAAACAAGATGTGACAGAATTCGCATATATCTATTGCGAAGATACTCCATCCATACCGTGCTCCTCTCAGTGACTCCAGAAATCTTAACTGCCTATAAAACATCGTTCTCTTGAACCGATGATTGATATTTTTTGGGATATCGAACGGAGTATCGTGCGAGTAGAAGGTCCACATCATTATTTAACAAATCTCATGAAAATCCCAATCTATGGAAATGAAAACCATGTTTCAACAAGTACCACAAAACTCGGCTTACATAAACGAGCAGAAACTTTCGCACTGGTAGCCGGCATTGCTGCACGCTGGTGGCCTTTAGTGATCACAACTATGTAGCATCCACGATGAAGAGGCGCTTCCATCATTGCATAGGTCGCAACATCTCGGGTAACTAGGTCTCCAGCATCCACACTCGTGGGCTGGCCTCCCGCACCCATCCAGGCACATCTGTGGCCACCCGCATCTGCACTCATGGGCTGGCCTCCCGCAGCCATCGTGGCACATCGGTGCTGGCCTCCCGAATCTGCACTCGTGGGCCGGCCTCCTGCACCCATCAGGGCACATCGGAGGCCTCCTACATCTACACTCAAGGGCCGGCCTCCCACACCCATCATGGCACAACGGTGGCCTCTCGTAGTGACAGTTGCATGGACAAAACCAACCGCAACCCCGATTATGACAAGGGGGACAAACATACAACCCACCCATCACATACACCGGCGGGTAACCTAGCACCGGTGGAGGAGGAACCCGTTCTGCGGGTGGTGCAACAGGTGTAGGACCTAATTCTTTTGTTTTTGTAGTTTGAGTGGATTGATCCTTTTTACCTGGTTGTTTAGTTTCGGTGGGTTTATTCTCTGCACCTGGATCCGGTCTCTCTTGCTTGGGGGGTATAATGTCGATGCCTAGAATGAAATCCTTTCCCTTGCTACATATCTTTTGTCGGACCTTCTCGGGACTGCAACACACCACTGTGATCGTCGCAGTGTTTTGTTTCTCGTTGAAGATTCGGTCTTTTACTTCTGTGTTCACAAAGTTGTAATAAGTCCATGTATCACGAACACTTCGTGTTATTCATCATAAATAGTAAGTAAAGGTGTACCACACAATGGAACTGATGCATGCACTTTTGAGACAGAGGAAAGGAAAGGAAAAGAACTAAAGAAGTAATAATAAACACAGCAGACCTAGCAATCATTTTGAACGTGGCATATTCGATAACATTGTTTGAATTTCGTCTTCTCATAATCACTAAAATAATAACGATCATCAGCATAAGTTTCATCGATACGATAATGGTTAATTAAGTCGAAAGGCAAGGGACTCACGTGGGATCTCACACAGAATTTTCTGGATCTTCTTGTAACAGCGACCACACCGAAGATCCACTTTGATCACCATTATCGTGACCTACAACATTGCGAGCAAGCACAACAAAATTAGCTAAATTCATAACATGTCATAATCACAAGAGAGAAGCAGGCTAAAGTGAAGGCGGATTTTGCACCTGCTCTGCCATATTTCCTGAGCTAACAAGATGAATTGCCTTCTCAACCAATTCACCTCCCCTAAATAGTGAGACCCGAATGTTCCTACGTTAGTTCAATAGAGGATAAAGACAAGGAACTTAAAGGTTCATAGTATTATTTCAAGTCATTTTGACGTTTCTCATTAGAAAAAGCATGCGTTGAACTCATGACGAACATAGTATAACATCACCAACGTTAGAGGCATGCACATGGCGCCCATGATGCTTTATGGAAAAAAAGGTGCACCTTTTAACCTTCCGTTACTAAAAGAATTACAACAAATCACATTCCCACACTACAAAGGAAAAGTGGTTGTGCTCCTTAAAACTATCAATTTCCCCATGTGATTCCAGTCCTTTGTTTATTGTTTTTGCATTTAATTTGATTTCGACACTTAATTGGACATGTACTTGGATTTCAAGAGTATCCATAGGCGACTGTGTTGGGGTGAATTAAACTGTGTCGTTTATATGCTCTAATGCTTCGCTCACTACATGGAACTCAAATTTGGATGGACTAATCATCAAGTATGTTGCCAAAACAAGCGATCGTACATAATAATATATAAAATAAGTAAATAAATCGGATGTCGAATTTACATGAGTCGGTTAGTGTGACCAATTCCGCAGGGAGAGAAGTATATAATGGAAATCACAACTACACTTGAATTACTCAAACAGTCTTTGCGTTTTCCAATCTCAAATTATACCAAAATAACTTAAGAGTGTTTAGCCTCAAAAGTTTCTCGAAAAATAATCTTTCAATCTCACAAAATATAATTTATAAATCTTTTCACAATATTGATTGGCCTCAAACACACACTCGTTCGTTCATGGATGCAATTCTCGATCCACCCTTAAACTCATTCAAATTCTCCATGATTTCCAATGGAAGCAACCGAGCAAGAGATCGCATTCTGCACATCAACGACATCAAAATACTTTTAAACTTTAAAAAAGAAACTTTCCGGAGCCGCCTTTACATGGATTAGGGAATTGCCTTGTTTTCCAAATCGACTTTACATAGTTTGTTGTCCTTTTTTGATCGTGACTTTAACATACTTGCATTCAGGTTGGATTTCATTCACAGGTTTCCAATCAAGATGTATTCTATAATAATTATCCACCTTCACTTGACATGAGCAAAATTACAATCGCTTCGCTGAACTTGAAATCATCGCCGCTACTCTCCCACCACCCTTGATGGACTTAACCACCGTAAACATCTTTCAAGTTCAAGTCATGCTTGAACTTCGCCGTAACAATGGACCACATCAGAACGCAAACGTCACTTGCTTCTTTAGTCACTCTACAAGGATTCTCCGAATCAAACTTCTCCATCATCGATAAAGCAAAATCGATGTTGCATCCATACTTGCCATGAGGTCAAACTCCCACCTTGTCAAACTCAATAGTTACAATAACCGTTAGCTCTACAGGCTCCTCATTACACGAAATACCGTGTCAATTATCACGCTAGAACTCGTTACCTCAAGAGTTCAAGTTGCAACTCCACCATCAGCTAAACAACGTCTAGATTCATCAAATGCAACTTTTCCGCTGAAACACGTGAATTTAATTCTGAGCACAACAATCAATAACCTCACTCGCCTCGTGCAGAGTTAGGATTATCTATTTTCTTGCCCTTCCATTGAGCTTTCCATTAATCACACGAACATAAAATGGGCAACAAAATACTCTAAGAACATAATAATCATCAATGTTACCTACCTATATTTTCTTGGGAATCGAACATCTGATCGCACTTGATGAGAATCTATTCACCAAGTAGCTTCTACAAAACATATTTCCCAGAAGTTTCCTAACCATAGCAGCACTAGAGAGCATTTTTATGGGTCATCTCTAACAACATTCGACTCATCAACTTTACAATTTTTTTGTAATTCACTAGCACTAGTGCGGTGTCTCACTATGCCCTTCTCATTGCATGACTCATTTACACAGCTCCAATTAGAACTTCATGTTATTATCATTCCACAAGGCCTTGATTGTCTTATTAGTTTCCATTTCAATTAAACCTCTCAACAGCCTGATTTTGACAACAACAAACTTGTAACTCAACACAAACACACAAGTCCTCATGTTATCATAAATCTGGCGCTCCTCCTCAATAAAAATCGCAACCGCCAGTGAACATCCAAGTGAACCAACTTTGCAAACTCCATGGTTTCTCCAACAATGTCATTGAACGACACTTTTTGCTATTTGCTCGAGTTACAGCACCTACATATATCTTTGCCACATAAAATCACAACAGCTTCCTTTTACTTAGAACATTTAGGCTTCTCTCAACATTGTACCCTAAACACACATGCCATAATTCAGACTCTTGAACAGATGCATCCGACATCTATATGGCGAAATTTGTCACCGTCTCCTGAGTTGAAGCTCATATAGGGTACTGTGCTTAATTCCTCTCATTGTCATTACGGCACCACGAATGACTATCAAAACTCCACCTTCTTGAGTAGTTTGACATCCAGCTGAATTTAGGGTACTTAAGAAAATCATATTCTTATCAACCCTAGAACATGCCTCACCAATCAATGTTTTCATGATACCGTTATGCATTATGATTCTGACATCTCCACCACCCACAGCATCTCACTTACATTGTTCCCCAACTATGTTTTACTACTATCCCTGCACTAATAGGTCGTAAATCGATTCTTGTTTGGTGTATCGTAAAACAAGCAACCAAATCCGTAATCTATCCGCCAAACGACGAATATTCAAAGACAAACATGACATACTCAACACTATGCAAATAATTACCAGTCATTGTAGCAATATCATTAGTATACGCAACTCTAGTTCCTTTACATTAATCATGCTTTAGCTTAAAGCAATCCCTTTAAAAATGCCCTCTCATACCACCATTCCAACAAACAACAACACTTGTCATAGACTAACAATGCCTATTCAAGTTCACACTACTCCTGCTAACACCAGTACGAGTTTTTCCTCTATCTTCAGCTATTAAACCAGCAAAAATAGCTTCAGCAAATTCTCTTTTATGGATTACCACATCTAGAATCAAATCGCAAAGGTCTTAGCAAAATCACGCTTTTAGATTTAGAGGAATTACTAACAACAGTAACAATAATATTCAAACAATCAAGCAATGAGTAGAATAGAATCAAAGCGCGTAAATCATCATCAAAATCAATCTTAACTGAACTCAATTGACTAACTATGACATTGAATTCATTGATGTGTTCAGCAACTATTGTACATTCTCTCATCTTTAAGTGAAACAGATTTACCTTGTTGATGATAGAGGTCTTCTCAATATGTTCGATAGGGCATTCATTAGTCTCACAATGATCTTCTTTTTCACAATGTTGGCAATCATATGATTTACTGAGATGTAGTAGAATAGCAGGCTAATCCGGAAACATGATTCAACATTGAATTGGAGTGCAACCATGGTAGATTTCATCTGTGACAAAGTTATCAGAAGGCATAAGACCTATGCTGAATTATCATTATTTTACTTTCAAAAGTTCATACCATGATAATAGTGGCCTCCAGGGATACATATAATCTAGAGACTGTTTATATATTTAGTCATCCTATTACAAGCATACATAAGAAGTGGGCCTTCCATATGATTCTTGGCTTGGCGTATTCGAAGAAGGAATAAGAGTTGGTTGCGACCACCGATACCAATTATTGGCTTAGTTTATTTGAAGAAGGAATGAAAGTGAGTTACGCCCACCTATACCTCCAGTGCTTGGGTTGGTATATCGGAAGAAGGAATGAAAGTTCGTTCTGACCACCTATACCAATTATCTCATCTTCATTTGCAACTTATTTTGCATATGTGGCCAAATTGGTGGGCTAAAAAAATTGCTCCTCTAACATATAAAAACATGCACAAACACAAGCTTTTACTTTGATTAGCCTTTAAAAAGATAAGAGGGTGCGGGGTAGCTGTAGTCCTCTTCATTTTCTCCTGCTAAAAGGCCACAAAGGCGTAGTACATAAAAGGCAGACGAGAGAAAGCAAAGCGCTCAATGAACGATGGCAGCAAATTTTTCTTAAAGACAGCAATAGACCACTACATTTTTTAGCAGAATTGGCCAGCGCATCAAAGACCTAGTACAAAGTTGCCATCTTACTAAATTTGAAAGGTCGACCCCGACAAAAACGTGGTTATTCCCCTCTACCTTTCTTTCCCTTTAAGAAATAGAGCAATCGTTTTACGAACTCTATGGTTATGGTTTTCTCATAGTGAGGAAGGTATCGTACTGATAAAGTCCCAACTTCTTCTTGGATGGCTTCGATGTGCTGCATAGATCACACACGGCTTATCACCGTTGGACGTCTGCTTCTATCCTGGGCCTATTTGAATGCCTTTCCAGGTGAGCCAGACTTAGATTACACTTTGAAGCTTATCAAACTTTGGCGTAATGAAGGACTTCGAGATGCCTTGTCCTCCAATTACTCCGCCGTTAAAGTTCCCGAAGTCCAATAAGATAACTAGAAAGAGCAGTTACGGCTCTTTAATACACACACACACACACACACACACACACACACACACACACACACATATATATATATATATATATATATATATATATATATGTATGTATGGAAGGACTACGAGACTCCTTGACCTCCAAGTACTCCGCTGTAAAAGTCCCTAAAGTCCAATAAGACGGTAGAAACAATAGTTAAGGCGTTTTATTGCATGTATGGGATAAGTACATAAGAAATTCTAAATCTTGTTGTGAAAGTGCGATTGAGTTCCAAAACATTCAAAAAGTACAATTAAATCATACAGCTTATCAAATTGGTGCAATCAAATCCTTCAGTTACACTCCATCAATTTTGCAAAGTTGGATGCGAGAAATAAAATCTCATTTAACTCGGAAACTCATTAATGTATCTTGCACAGTAAAACCCATCCTCATTCATGTAAACTTTACAACTAAAGCATCTTTTATATATGGTTAGGAAGATCATGTTATGGTGGTCCTATCATCATTATCTACTGTGAAAGTTTCATGATCATTCTTTATGCTATAGTCAAACTCGACGAAACACCCACATTTTTCAAAATTGCCTCTTCACCCTCAAGAGGTGTGAGGCGGATCCGTTTTTTCAGAGATTTGACCCCATTTATATTAGGATTCACAAATGGAGTCCTCATTGTCGTGAAGGATAAAATAAACTTTTGGAACAACTCCTTTCAGACGTGTAAATTATGGAACAACATTCTTGATTAAGTTGAAAGTACGATTCAATTAGATTATTTAAATATCAAACCACGCCTTCAGAAGTCTTAGACTTTTAAAATAGTTGTCAGAGCTCCCACAAAATTTTACATGCAATAAGAGCACAAGATCCCGATTTCAAATCTTTCCATACCTCTATATATTGTCATGCTTTAGTCTTAGAAAAAAGTCTAAATTATGCATGAGCGGCATTGGTGGACTCTTGGTTCAATCAACCCAGATCACTAGCTAAGCCTTCTTTGACTTGGGTGGATTGCTTTGCTTTGCGAGTCTTCTTCGATGTTCCTTTTTCCGTAAAGGCATTGCTTGCCCACCAGCTTCAACAATGTGAGACCCGAACCTGCGTGTCTAGGCTCGAATTTGCCGTCATGTTCTCAACTTTGTCTCTTCTTTCGTTTTCATGGTCTGAGCCTCAGTGATGAGGCAAGGGAGTAGGCCCAACCCGGCTATCTCCATCACCCTATACCTATATTTTCTAGGCAAGGTTTAACAAATCATGTAATTTAGTGAAAGGATTATTTGAAATGTTGCACATAATTAGGAGACTGATTATCTCTAGCCTGAAAGATACTTCCAACCTTTAAATGGTTTGGAAGTCTTTTGGATCCCTAGAACGACGAACCGACGTGGTCAACTAGGCTCTAAAAACACATTGAACGAACAATCACGTGCATTTCGATCGAAATACTGCTTATTAATCAAGTGTATTGAATTGTAGTTTATACATAAATTGAAAGAGATGTCGGTTTCACATGGTACGAAGAATTTCAGATGGACAAGATTAATTATGACGTCATCATCCCCCATGATGGGCCTAGGCGGGCTTGAGCCGGCCGGTCCATGCGGGCCCATGCAGCTGGATTGTCGTGCCGAAGCTTGAACTTGCTAGCCTAGTTAAGAGCCTAGGCACACATGGTCCATTGTTTTTTTAATTTTTAACTTAGAAAGTCACAGAAATTGGACAATTTAGCTGGAAAATATTACAAAAGCCAAAAAAACCATATACCAATCTAAAGATAGATTAATAACTTCTATTTATTCTTACTTATTGTCGATCGTTTCAAAAGAAAGAGGGAATCATGATCTCCGGTCTTGGATACAAGCCAAGGACTAGCAGCTCTCCTAGATCACCATCGTCTATCTTTTTAGTCCAACATGATCTACAAAGTGGCAAGTGGAGATCATAGCGGGTCGACTGGACGTGTTCCGTGAGCAGGACAACTTTGACTGAATCCCAATCGGGCAATATTTCTCCTCTAGTCCAAAGGCCCGTGAACTAAATGACGCGGTAGATGACCTCATCTTATTTGGCATAAGCCTCCATTTATTTCATGAAAAATAAATTATTTAAAAATTATTTTCCTAAAAATGATCGCTGATATTACATGAATAATTAGTCGATGAAAAATATTTTCATTATCGATAATAATTTATGACTAAATATTTCCGTGAACGATGAAAATATTTTTTTTTTTATTTTTATAAATAATATATGTATATTTTTTTAAAAAATATTTTTTAAATTATTTATTTTTCATGAAATAAATAAATCTCTCGTGAAACTACAGTTGAGTAGAATTCAAGCCAACGCAAAAAACGTGGGAGTTGAGAGTGGAGAGAAACCAGTGGTCTAGACGAAAAGATTGACTGGACAAGGAAGTCAAAGGAAAAGCAGCATCGTGATGCCTTATCAATCCTATCATTGTTGCTTTCTGGTGGAAGGTCGGTGGGAAAAGGATGGACGACAATCGTACAGCATCTTATCCGGTGATGTTTCATTATTATCGTGAAAATGCAAATGTAGAAACTAAAAAATGTGGATGACACTAAACAATTTTCCTTGGTACATGAGCAGACTGGCTTTTCACAAAATCAAATCCATCCTATACTTTCTTGAAAAAGCCATGAAGAAATTTTCGACAAAATCATCCATTTTATTATACGGATCTCAATTCAGTCTTAAATTTTTTAATTTTACTAATTTAGTCATAAACCTCTATGCCATATTTTGATATAATCTTTTCTGCTGATTTTTGCTAAAAATCGCTAACGCAGCGATGTACTATGTAGAACAACCGGCGATGACCGGACAACCACGTCAACAATATCCAACAAAAATTAGCCGGTAGGATTATATTAAAATTTCGTGCAAAATTTTATGATTGAATTAGCAAAATCGAAAAGTTTAAGACTGAGTTAACATTAGTACAATAGATTTAAAACAGCTTAGGTAATTATTTCGATATTTTCTATTAAGTATACTTCTTTTGTACTCCAGAACTCATAGTAATTGTTGAATTATTATCTGTATAGATCTCTATGTCCTATTTATGTCTTATGAATGGTTATAATGGATTCCGAAGGATAAAGGGAAATGGAAAAAGAAAACAACGAGAAAATCTAATATCATCTAAATAAACTATTTCCGCCATGATGCCCCCGTAATCGTATATTACAAGTCTGAAATCAGCAAATACATTAAAGATCACAGTAGGTGACAGGTAATACAAAGTTGAGTAAGTTAAAACCTGTGGTAAAGCATAATTCAACATATCAATCCTCATGGCACATAATCAAGCTGCGACGACGTTCACGTGTATCTAATGGAAGATACTATATACCTTACTCCTCTCTCGGTGTCTCAACAAATCTTACCGTTACTAAAATATCATTTCCATAAGCCAATAGTTGGTATTTATTGAGGCACCGAAGAGAGTATCGTGCGGGGTAGAAGATCCACATCAACAAATATCACAAAACTCTCCTTACATAAGCGAGCAGGAACTTTCGCACTCGTAGCCGGCATTGGTGCATACCGGCGGCCTTCCACAGTCACAACCATGCGGGGTCCATGATGAACAGGCATTTTCATTATTGCATCGATCGCAACACCTCGGGTAACTAGGGCTCCGGCATCTGCACTCGTGGGCCGGCATCCCACACCCATCCCGGCACAACGGTGGCCTCCTACATCTGCACTCGTGGGCTGGCATCCCACACCCATCCCGGCACAACGGTGGCCTCCTACATCTGCACTCGTGGGCTGGCCTCCCGCAACCATCATGGCACATCGGTGGCCTCCCGCATCTGCACTCGTGGGCTGGCCTCCCGCAACCATCAACACACATTGGTGGCCACCCACAGTGACAGCTGCATGGACAGGACGAACCACAGCCCCGATTAAGACACGGGGGACAAACACACACCCACCCCATCACATAGACCGGCGGGTCAGCTGGCGCCGGTGGAGGAGGATCTGTCTTTTTAGTTGAAGGGGTCTCAACCTTTCCACCTTTTGAACCACCTGCATCGTCTTCTTTCTTCTTTTTGCCCTTTTGATCATCGTCCCCTTTCTTTTCACGTAAAATCTCGACGCCTTGAACGAAACATCTTCCCTTGCACAATATCTTCTGTCGGACATTCTCGGGACTGCAACTCACCACTGTGATCGTCACTTTCTTTTGTTTCTCGTCGAAGATTTGATCTTTTACTTCTGCGTTCACAAAGTTTTATTAACTCCATGTATCATGAACACTTCGTGTTATTCATCACAGATAGTAGTAGGTAAAGATGTGCTACACAATGGGAAAATTACTAAAATAGTCCTAAATCTATTGCGATTGTGCCAATTTAGTCATAAACCTTTTGCATTTGTGTCAATTCAGTCTATCTGGCTAATTTTAGCCGGCCGACACTAACATGACAATTTTTAAATATTTTTTTGAATTTCTTTATATTTTTTTGAATTTCTTTTTTCCCTTTCTCTCTTTTTTTTTTTTTTTTGCTTTCCTTCTTCCCCTGGCCAGTCACCGAACCGGCCAGGCACCTCGTCGGCCACTGGTGAGGCCCGCCCTCCTCGTCACGGGTGAGGTCGGCCATGGCGAGGGCAAGGCTCGACCTCGATAGATCTGGGTGAGGTCGAGCTCGCCCAAATCGAGGGCAAGGTAGATGACCATGGTGAGGCTGAGCTCACCCAGCCATGGCGAGGGCGATGACCTCGCCGTCGTGGGTGAGGTCGGCCATGGCGTGGGTGACGACGGCCATGGCAAGGTTGGGCGAGGTCAAGCTCCTCGCCTAGATCACCGTGGTCGACCTCACCCGTGACGACAAGGTCGTCACACCTCGATGAAACACCCAAACTTTAAATTTTTTTTAAAAAATTCCACAAAATATTTAAAAATTATCTTGTCAACGTCGGTCAGATGGCTCGCATCTACGTCAGTGCCGGCCGGTCAAAATTGACCGGATAGAGTGAATTGACACAAATGCAAAAGGTTTATGACTGAATTGGCCAAAAAAAATGTTTAAGGCTGAATTGACACAATTGCAATAGATTTATGACTGTTTGGCTAATTTTCCTGCTACACAATAGAACTAAGGCACATGCTTTTGAGAAAGAGGAAACGGAAGAAAAAGAACTGATGCATACATCTATTATACGTTGATGCGATAAGAGTAATCAATAAGTATGCAGATTTATTAATTGAGGTAAAGGCGAGGGACTCACGAGGGATCTCACACAGGATTTTCTTGATCTTCTTGCAACAGCGACGACACTGAAGATCCACTTTGATCTCCATCTTCGCGACCTGCAACATTGAAGGCAAGCACCACAAAATTAGCTATAACATTGGGAAAGTATGGTCAAGAAGCTAAGTTTGAAAATTCAGATGAGAAATCAAGATGAGAAGAACAGGAAGAGAATCGAATAGAAGAATTCAAGTAGATCGATGAGATAGAGAGGCAAGCTGAAGTGAATGAGGATTTTGCACCTGCTCTGCCATGTTTCTTGAGCTAATAAGATGAACTGCTTCCTGAACAAGTTCGCCTGCTCTAAATAGCGAAACGAGTAAGGTTCGTACGTTAGTTCTGTTGTCATTTTCGTGTTGAATATTAGCAAGAGCATGCATTGAATTCATGACGTCCGTAGTATTACATCACCTGCATTATTGGGCTTTCACGTGTTGTACCTTCCATCGTCAAAAGAATTCCATCAAGGATCCGTTTATTTCACGTAAAATAAACGATTTAAAAAATATTTTTTTATAAAAATGATCATTTATATCCCTTGAAATAATTAGTCAATAAAAATATTTTCATTATCAACAACAAATTATATCTAAATATTTTCGTGAATGATGAAAATATTTTTCTTTCATTCGATTTTGTAAGTGTTATAAGCAATTATTTTTAGAAATATGTTTTCCAAATCGTTCATTTTCCATGAAACCTACGAAGCCCAGGCCACAATCCGAACGACAACAGAAACAGGAAAAGCACAGCGCCGATTGCTACAATTCATAGGTGAGCGTGTTAGGGTGAACCATATCGTTCACACGTTTCAATGGTTTGCTCAGTACATGCGACGGAAATTGTATGGATTGACCATTGAGCATGTTGCAAAACAATCGCCCGAACGTAATAAACATAATAAGAAGGTAAATATGATATTGGATTTACCAGTTCAATCGGTGGGACCTAACCCACAGGAAGAGAAACATGGCTTTCAACTATAGATTAAACGACACAAAAGAGATTACAATCATACTTGAGTTACTCAGACACGCTCTGTATTTCCTAGCTTTCGATTATACCAAAAAACTCACACAGTGTTTAGTTCTCATCTCTTAATCTCACAAAGGAGTTCACAAATCTCATCACAAGATTTATTAGCTTCAAACACAAACTCGTTCTTTCTTGGATGCACTTCACGATCAATCCTTAAACTCCGATCTAATCCCCCTCCCCCTCTTTGGGAGCTAATTTGTTATGATGCCCCTTTATCATGTGCTTGGCCGTACTTAATGACAAGGAAAGTAGCTTTTCGAACCAAAAAAAAATAAAAATTCCCCACGAAGTATATCATGAAATCAAAGGATAGTGGAAACAAAAAAAAAATTGAATTCTCTTATCGACAATAGACCAAATTACACGCTCACTATTTGGTTGGCAATGTAGATTAGGATCATATTGGTCTTTGGATTAATTATAATTTTTTTTTTCTCCACGCCATTCGCAACCTTTACTACTTCATTGATTTTCCACGATCGAATAGACAACATAAAGATTGGGGACCGCGAATATAACAGTGGAAAGAACAAAGAAGCTTGGTTTATTAGGCCATTATTATTTTGTTACAAAGCCGCCATCCACAGTACAAGGTGACACAGACTCCTCATATGATGTGTTCGGACCAAGGATTATCGCGAATTAGGTGGGACAAAAGTAGAGAACTTGAGAAAACCATGGACTTTTGAATGGTACGGATTACTAATTTCCATTCTTCCAATTAAAGATATGAAAGCTTATAATATCTTGGCCTCTCCATATAATTTGTGGTCGGCCTTGCAGCTTCCATGTGCGTGGCTGCCGATCATATGGAAGTGCCACTAGAGTTTCGTCCGTATGGGAAAGTTCCCCTTGATTAAACGTTAGTGTTGTTGTACACGAGCATAACAAAATGGAATAAATATGTAAGGAAAACATTAATATAAGGAGAAATTGGAGCCTGATGAAATTTAACATTAATGTTATAAAGGGTAATTTTGAGAGGAATAAAAAATAAAACGAAATACTGTTTTGTCTAGATAGATCGGTATTCTTTATTTACCCTATGTTGTAGGCCTTAGTAGCCAAAATTGTAGGCTCATATAAGGACGAAAATGGTGTGCTATGTAGAGCTATGCAATCGGACCGATTCTCCTTGGGAGCTGGACCGAACTGTCCTGGAAACCGGTCCGGTTCCAAGTTCCAAATTTTTGGAACCAATGGGAATTGGTCCGGATTTCGGTACCAAGTGGAGAACCACTCGAGAGCAAGACTGATCAGACCAAATTTGGAATTGGTTTCATAAAGCCTAAAAAACTCTAATTTTTCTCGACATCTTTTTCTCTATCTCGCTCTTTTTTTCTGGTCTCTCCAACCTCACTTTAACACTTCACGACTCTCTCTCTCTCTCTCTCTCTCTCTCTCTCTCTCTCTTGCTCGTAACTCATCCCCCTCGCTCACTCGCAGCTCGTTCGAGCCTTGCAACCCTCGCTTATTCCTGACTCGCATTTGCTCGCTCGCCCTCGTTTTGAACCTTTTTATGGCTCATATTATTTTGCTGTAAAAAATGAAATAAAAAAAAGGAACAAAAGAAAAAACAAGTTCTCGAGAATACAAAGTAGGTTCCACGGCAAACGGGGTAAATTTCAAGTTCCAAAAATTGAGAACTGGTTCCAACAAGGTAGGTTATAGGTTTTAGGTTTGGAACCTACTCACCTTGAAACCGATCACCCTTAATGCTATGTAACGATGATATCAGACATATTGACGTGTTATTAATAAATCGCTAATTGTACTTGTTTTAGCATTTGCGTATTATTATATTTGCTATAAATAGAGACACTCGATTTTTTTTCCTTAAATAATGTAAAAAAAAATTGATTAGCCAATGATACAATATAAAAGTTGTCACGAAATAAGTATTAGATTATACAAGTTTATCTAAAGTCCACTTAATTTGAAATTGATTTAAGAAAGGGAAAAAGCCACCAAAAACCCCAAACTACGGCCACTGTGACACTTTTACTCTCAACTTTTTTCTGTAACATCAAAAATCACAAACTATGCCCACTATGACACACTTAACCTGAACTTTTTCTCGTGATGTAAAAAACTTCAAACTTGTACCTACGTGACACACTTACTTCCCCTTAAATGATTTTTTAGCCAAAACAACTTTGTTTTTATTTCACTTAAGCCATTTGGGTACCATGTCAACACTGTTTGCTTTTTAACATCCATTTAGGCAGATTTTTAACAGTGCTCATTAACGGAACCTTGATGGAGGATAAATATGTCATACATGTACAAGTTTGGGATTTTTGGTGTCACATAAAAAAGTTTAGGGTAAATATGTCATGGTAGGCATAGTTTGGGGTTTTTGGTGACTTTTTCCCTTTAAAAAAAGATAACTACATAGCTATTCATAAGATTTAATTTATTACCCTATTGTTTAACAAATTGTTTTTACTTTTACAATTTAAATAAATTTAAACAATTCGTGTTTTAATTTAGTCATTCAAAAGATTAAATGAAAATGACATTTAAATAACATTTAGGGATAAGGAAATCCAGATGCTGAATCTATGGAATATATTTTAAGGACCTTTATACCGTACTTGACAATGTGTAAAATTTTCTTTACATAAGCAGGCAATCAAGACATGCGTGGTTATTAAATGTGAATATCGACATGTATCTTGATCTTAAGCTCTCGCTTGTGTCTAGAAAATTTACACGGGCCATATTTCTTTAGCAAATCCTTATCTACTGATCAATATAAATACTAACAGTAACGATGACAAATATAAAAATCATTTTTTCTTTGAAAAAATCAAATTTCAAAGTCGCCATCCACAGTACAATGTGACATAGACTCCATATATGATTGTCTCGACCTCCCCGTGGCACGGACCCTCGATAGGCCGACAAGAGTCTGACGAGAGGTTAATAGATTGCTAAGTCTAAACTTGAGGACTTAATTCGTGCTCTTCTAAACCCATACCAACTCACAATTTAAGGTTTAAGTTTTTAACATGCAAATTGATTTTATTTAAGAGTTGCCACTAATCAGTTTAAGGTAGGTTAATTAGAAATCCAAGTAAGGCGATGGAAGAATCGCCTTACTCCTACGAATCAGAGATTCAATGAGTCCAAGGACTTGGTTATAGTAATTAGACAATTAATGCCCTTTCGATACCTAATCCCGTTCAGACATTATGTGAACGTGTTCGTGCAGTCTTCTAACGATTGTGGATCCTAGGGTTCTAATCCTAATCATGCTAAGGAAATGACAATCAATACATCAGAAGTGCGCAAACAAATGCTTAACATGCCTCTAATTAGGCACATGCAAAGTCGAATTAAATATCCAATTCAAACATGCGAATCAACCAACGTGCAATTAAGCGTGGCATTAATCACACAAGAAAGCAAGAAAAGGGAATTTCAAAGCTCTATTTCCATTTTTTGTTTAATTTGCGAAGTTGGCTATTTTTTTTTTAAAATTTTTAATTAAAAAATTATTTTTTTAATATTAAAATAATAATATTATATTATATTTTTATAATAATATGGACGGACCCGGGTCGGATCTCCGGGTCAGGACTGACCCAGAGGCACCGGCCCGGGTCCACGACTGGACTGGGCTCAGTAAATGAGCCTAGTCCGGCCTGTCCTGAAAAATAAAAAAAGAAAGGCCCAGCCCACTTTTCTAATTTTTTTTTAAAACAAGCCCAGCCCAAACCTATTCTCTAATCGTCTAGCCCTAGCCCAGAGAAACAATTTGGAAACTGGCCTGGCCCCTTCGCCCGATCGGGGCTCCGACCCTCCCACTCCGCAGACCCGACTAGGTCAACCTCAACGCCACCGTGACGGTCTCCCGCGCAGCCATGACAGGATTGTTTTCTGGTGGAGTGGAAGGACGATGGGAAGAGGAAGGACCACAATCACACATCTTTTATCTGGTGATGTTTCATAAATATCGTGAAAATGCAAATGTAGAAACTGAAAAATGTGAACGGCTCTAAACAATTTTGCTTAGTGCATGAGCAGACTGGCTTTTCACAAAATCAAATCGATCCTATACTTTCTTGAAAGAACCACGGAAAAGTTTTCGGCGAAACTGTCCAATCAGTCCTAAACCTATTGCACGGATGCCAATCCAGTCCTAAGTTTTGTAATTTTAGCAATTTAGTCATAAACCTCTATGCGATATTTTAATATAGTCATTCCTGCTAATTTTCGCTAAGAATTGCTAACTTGGCGGTGTGCCACATAGGATGATCGGCAATGATTGGACCACCACTTCACCAATTTTCCATCGAAAATTGATAAGGGCTACATTAAAATTTCATGCAATAGATTAGGACTGAATTAGCAAAATCGAAAAGTTTAGGACTGAATTGGTATGCGTACAATAGATTTACAACAGGTTGGGTAATTATCCTCAAATTTTCTATTAAGTATGCTTCCTTTGTACTCCGGAGCTCATAGTAATTGTTGAATTATTATCTGTCTAGGTCCCTCTGTCCTATTCATGTCTTATGTATGGTTCTTATGGATTCCGAAGTATGGAGGGAAGTGGAAAAAGAAAACTCCATGAAAATCTAATATCATCTAAATAAACTATTTCTATGGTAACCGTATAGTAAAAGTATCAGATCAGCAAATACATTAAAGACCACCGTAGGTGATAGGTAATACAAAGTGTAATAAGTTGAAACCTATGGTAAGCATAATTCAACATATCAACCCTCATGCGCACACATAATCAAGATGCGACGAACTTCAAGTTCATCTAATGGAAGATACTGTATACCGTGCTACTCTCTGTGCCTTGCTAAAATCGCATTTTCATAAGCCAAGGGTTGGTATTTATTGAGGCACTGAAGAGAGTATCGTGCGGGGTAGAAGATCCACATAAACAAATACCACAAAACTCTCCTTACATAAGCGAGCAGGAACTTTCGCACTCGTAGCCGGCATTGGTGCATACCGGCGGCCTTCCACAGTCACAACCATGCAGGGTCCATGATGAAGAGGCATTTTCATCATTGCATCGATCGCAACACCTCGAGTAACTGGGTCTCCGGCATCTGCACTTGTGGGCCGGCCTCCCACACCCATCCCGGCACATCGGTGGCCTCCCGCATCTGCACTCGTGGGCGGGCTTCCCACACCCATCATGGCACATCGGTGGCCTCCCGCATCTGCACTCGTGGGCCGGCTTCCCGCAGCCATCATTGCACATCGGTGGCCTCCCGCATCTGCACTCGTGGGCGGGCTTCCCACACCCATCATGGCACATCGGTGGCCTCCCGCATCTGCACTCGTGGGCCGGCTTCCCGCATCTGCACTCGTGGGCGGGCTTCCCACACCCATCATGGCACATCGGTGGCCTCCCGCATCTGCACTCGTGGGCCGGCTTCCCGCAGCCATCATTGCACATCGGTGGCCTCCCGCATCTGCACTCGTGGGCCGGCTTCCCGCATCCATCATCGCACATCGGTGGCCTCCCGCATCTGCACTCGTGGGCCGGCTTCCCGCAGTGACAGATGCATGGACATAACCAACCACAACCCCGATTATGACACGGGGGACAAACATTCACCAGCCCCATCACATACACCGGTGGGTAACCTAGCACCGGTGGAGGAGGAACCGGTTTCTTGGCGGGTCCATCCTGTGTAGCACCGGTTTTTTTAGTTTCTTTACTCGATTCATCCTCACCGGTTTTTGTAGCTTTTTTACTCGATTCATCCTTTGTAACTTTCTCGGGGGCTATAATGTCAATGCCTAAAATGAAATCTCTTCCCTTGCAACATATCTTCTGTCGGACCTCCTCGGGACTGCAACACACCACTGTGATCGTCACTGTGTTTTGTTTCTCGTCGAAGCTTTGATCTTTTACTTCTGCGTTCGCAAAGTTTTATTAACTCCGTGTATCATGAACACTTCGTGTTAGTCATGACAGATATTAGTAGGTAAAGATGTGCTACACAATAGAACTGAGGCGCGTACTTTTGAGAAAGAGGAAAGGGAAGAAAAAGAACCGATGCATACATCTGTTAAACATAGATGCGATAAGAGTAATCGACAAGTATGCAGATTTATTAATTGAGGTAAAGGCGTGGGACTCACGAGGGATCTCACGCAGGATTTTCTTGATCTTCTTGTAACAGCGACGACACTGAAGGTCCACTTTGATCACCATCTTCGCAACCTGTAACATTGAAGGCAAGCACCACAAAATTTGCTATAACATTGGAAAAGTATGGTCAAGAAGCTAAGTTTGAAAATTCAGATGAGAAATCAAGATGAGAAGAACAGGAAGAGAATTGAATAGAAGAATTCAAGTAGATCGATGAGATAGAGAGGCAAGCTGAAGTGAATGAGGATTTTGCACCTGCTCTGCCATGTTTCTTGAGCTATTAAGATGAACTGCTTCCTGAACAAGTTCGCCTGCTCTAAATAGCGAAACGAGTAAGGTTCCTACGTTAGTTCTGGTGTCAGTTTCGTGTTTAATATAAGCAAGAGCATGCGTTGAACTCATGACGTCCATAGTACTACGTCGCCAGGTCACCTGCATTATTGGGCTTTCACGTGTTTTTCCTTCCATCATCAAAATAATTACATCGAGGATCCATTTGTTTCGCGTAAAATAAACGAATTGAATTTTTTTTTAAATGATCGTTTATATCGCTTGAAATAATTAGCCAATAACAAATATTTTCATTATAAACAACAAATCATGTCTAAATATTTTCGTGAATGATGAAAATATTTTTATTTCATTCGTTTTTGTAAGTGTTATTAGCAGTTATTTTTAGAAATATGTTTTCCAAATCGTTCATTTTCCATGAAACCAACGAAGCCCAAGCCACAATCCGTACTACAACAGAAACAGGAAAAGCACAGCGGCGATTGCTACAATTCATAGGTGAGCGTGTTGGGGCGAGCCGTGTCATTCACACGTTTCAATGGTTCGCTCAGTACATGCGACGGAAATCGTATGGATTGACCATCGAGCATGTTGCAAAGCAATTGCCCGAACGTAATAAACATAATAAGAAGGTAAATCGGATATTGGATTTACCAGTTCAATCGGTGCGACCTAACCCACAGGAAGAGAAACACATCTTTCAACTATAGATTAAGCGACACAAATGAGATTACAATTATACTTGAGTTACTCAAACACGCTCGGTGTTTCCTAGCTTTCGATTACATCCAAAAACTCATACAGTGTTTAATTCTCATCTCTTAATCTCACAAAGGAGTTCACAAATCTCATCACAAGATTTATTAGCTTCAAACACAAACTCGTTCATTCTTGGATGCACTTCACGATCAATCCTTAAACTCCGATCTAATCCCCCTCCCCCTCTTTGGGAGCTAATTTGTTATGATGCCCCTTTATCATGTGCTTGGCCGTACTTAATGACACGGAATGTAGCTTTTCGAACCAAAAAAAAAAAAATTTCCCCACGAAGTATATCATGAAATCAAAGGACAGTGGAAACAAAAAAAAAATTGAATTCTCCTATCGACAATAGACCAAATTACACGCTCACTATTTGGTTGGCAAAGTAGATTAGGATCATATTGGTCTTTGGATTAATTATAATTTTTTTTTCTCCACGCCATTCGCAACCTTTACTGCTTTATTGATTTTCCACGATCGAACAGATAACATAAAAATTGGGGACCGCGAATATCACAGTGGAATCCTTGTAAAGAGCTATGAGCCATTGATGAGAAAGAACAAAGCTTGGATTATCAGGCCATTAATATTTAGTTACAAAGTCGCCATCCACAGTGCAAGGTGACAAAGACTCCCTATATGATGTGTTCGGACCATGGATTATCCCGAATTAGGTTAAATTCGGCTTGCAAATTAGGTGGGACAAAAGTTGAGAACTTGAGAAAATCATGAAATTTTGAATGCTACGGAGTACTAATTTCCATTCTTCTAATTAAAGATATGAAAGCTTATAATATCTTGGCCTCTGCATATAATTTGTAGTCGGCCTTGCAACTTCCAAGTGCGTGGCTGCTGATCATATGGAAGTGCCATTAGAGTTTCGTCCGTATGGGAAAGTTCCCCTTGATTAAACGCTAGTGTTGTTGTACACGAGCATAACAAACTGGAATAAATATGTAAGGAAAACATTAATGTAAGGAGAAATTGGAGCCTGATGAAATTTAACATTAAAGTTATAAAGGGTAATTTTGAGAGGAATAAAAAATAAAACGAAATACTGTTTTGTTTGGGTGAAGAACACTAGAAGTACCAAAACTTGTGTACGACGCTCACTTTAGTGCCAAATGTTTCCGTCGGATCACTTAAGTGCCAAACTTTTTGAAAAAATGATCACTTAAGTGTCAACTCCGGTCAGTTTGGCCGGAAATCCAATGTGGCATTTTTTTATTAATTTCTGAAGCCTATGTGACTTGCCGGAGATTTAGTCAACATGTGCACTTTAAAACGACGTAGTTGAGTATGTACACTTCGATTTTTTAAATATTTTTTCTGATTTTTTTTTTCCTTCTTTTTTTTTTCTTTTCTTTCTTCTTCTTCTACCTTTCACCGGTGACCGGACAATGGCCACCGCCCACCGGCCATGGTCAGCTGCCTAGCCTCGCTCGGATGAGGCCGCCGTCACCCACCATAGGTGAGGCCCAGCCGACCCTCGCTTGGACGAGGGTGGGCGAGCCTCGGCGAGGCTAACGTTCACCCAAGCCACGGCGGCCTCGCTAGGCATCATCTCCTCACCGGGGCTCACCCGCTCTCGCCTAGGCGAGGGTCGGCCTTAAAAGCCACATATGTGCGGCCTCGCCAGATCTAGGCGAGGCCGCCCTCGAAAGCCATAGGCAAGGGACGGATGTCGACCCTCGCCCGGGCGAGGGCAGGCAAGCCTCGGCGAGGGCTCCCCTCACTCGATTTGGCGAGGCCGCCGTGGCCTGGGCGAGGGCTGGCCTCTCCAGGGTTCACTCGCCCTCGCTGGGGCTTGCCCGCCCTTGCCTAGGTGAGGGTCGGCCGGGCCTTGCTTGTGGCGGGAGACGATGGCCTCATCCGGGCGAGGCCAGGCAGCCTGCCATGGCCAGTGGCCGGTGTCCGGTCACCGGCCAAAGGTAAAAGAAGAAGAAAGAAAAGAAAAAAATAAAAGAAGGAAAAAAATAAAAAAATAAAAAAATGTTTAAAAAATCTAAATATACACATGGAAATGCCACATAGACTGATTTTTTTTAAAAAAAAAACCCAACTCAGATTAAAATTTTAATTATAAAAATCACGTATTAATTTGGTCGGAATTTCTCGCCGTTGGCACTTAAGTGATCATTTTTTCTCTGATTTGATACTTAAGTGATTCAGCGAAAACTTTTGGTACTAAAGTGAGCGCTATATATAAGTTTTGGCACTTCTAGTGTTCTTCCCCTGTTTTGTCTAGATAGATCGGTATTCTTTATTTACCCTATGTAGTAGGCCTTAGTAGCACTAAAATTGGTAGGTTCCGTTTGTTTCACCTAAAATGAACGGTTTGAAAAACATTCTTTTTTAAAAATGATTGTTTCTATCGTTTCAAATAATTAGCCAATAAAAAATATTTTCAGTATCAAAAACAAATTATGTCTGAACATTTTCATGAACGATGAAAATAATTTTCTTTCCTTCGTTTTTGTAAGTGTTATAAGCAATTATTTTTAGAAATATATTTTCCAAATCATTCATTTTCCATGGCACCAACGATGCCCAAGTCACAGTTCGTACTACAACAGAAACAAGACAAGCACAACGGCGATTACTACAATTCATAGGTGAACGTGTTGGGGCGAGCCGTGTCATTCACACGTTTCAATGGTTTGCTCAGAACATGCGACGGAAATCGTATGGATTGACTATCGAGCATGTTGCAAAGCAATTGCCTGAACGTAATAATCATAATAAGAAGGTAAATCGGATATTGGATTTACCAGTTCAATCGGTGCGACCTAACCCACAGGAAGAGAAACACATCTTTCAACTATAGATTAAGCGACACAAATGAGATTACAATTATATTTGAGTTACTCAAACACGCTCGGTGTTTCCTAGCTTTCGATTACATCCAAAAACTCACGCAGTGTTTAATTCTCATCTCTTAATCTCACAAAGGAGTTCACAAATCTCATCACAAGATTTATTAGCTTCAAACACAAACTCGTTCATTCTTGGATGCACTTCACGATCAATCCTTAAACTCCGATCTAATCCCCCTCCCCCTCTTTGGGAGCTAATTTGTTATGATGCCCCTTTATCATGAGCTTGGCCGTACTTAATGACACGGAATGTAGCTTTTCGATCCAAAAAAAAAAAAATTTCCCCACGAAGTATATCATGAAATCAAAGGACAGTGGAAACAAAAAAAAAATTGAATTCTCCTATCGACAATAGACCAAATTACACGCTCACTATTTGGTTGGCAATGTAGATTAAGATCATATTGGTCTTTGGATTAATTATAATTTTTTTTTCTCCACGCCATTCGCAACCTTTACTGCTTCATTGATTTTCCACGATCGAACAGATAACATAAAAATTGGGGACCGCGAATATCACAGTGGAATCCTTGTAAAGAGCTATGAGCCATTGATGAGAAAGAACAAAGCTTGGATTATCAGGCCATTAATATTTAGTTACAAAGTCGCCATCCACAGTGCAAGGTGACAAAGACTCCCTATATGATGTGTTCGGACCATGGATTATCGCGAATTAGGTTAAATTCGGCTTGCAAATTAGGTGGGACAAAAGTTGAGAACTTGAGAAAACCATGGAATTTTGAATTGTACAAATTACTAATTTCCATTCTTCTAATTAAAGACATGAAAGCTTATAGTATCTTGGCCTCTCCATATAATTTGTGGTCGGCCTTGCAACTTCCAGGTGCGTGGCTGCTGATCATATGGAAGTGCCATTAGAGTTTCGTCCATATGGGAAAGTTCCCCTTGATTTTTTTTTTGGTTGGAAAGATAAATATATCATTCACTAAGAAGGACCCGATAAAAGGGCATCAGTATATAAGAGCTCCCAAAGTGCTTGGGGAAGGAAGAAGACCCAATTTAAAGGTAGGTAGTTGTTTTTGTGGGCTTTAGCAACCCAGTCCGCTACAAAATTGGCCTCTCTATGACAATGAAAGACCCAAATACTAGAGAAGGATTGTAGCAGGTCTTTGCATTTCAAAATAAGCGCGTGGACTTCCCAACTAAGTGGATCTGGACTCTCTAAGGCATTGACTAAGTCCAAGCTGTCAGACTCAAGTATAAGGACTTCACGTCATTTGGAAAAGAAGTGAGTTAGGGCTTCTAACAAAGCAAGAGACTCAGCCATCAGCGGGGACGACATCGCCACTATACGAGCTGCTCCGTCCAGCAACCTTCCGACGGAATCACGGCAAACGCAGGCGATCGAACCGTCCGAAGCTCCAGGTTCGTACGCCCCATCTATGTTTATCTTATAAGTTCCATACAGCGGTGGATTCCAAGTCTCTGAAAATTCGTCGGCTTTGTTCCCGGATCTGCTTGATTTGGGGTTCCATCTGTTAAAACTCTTCAACCCAGCTAGAACAGCGTCGATGAGGCTGATTGTGTTGGGTTTTCTGTTCTTGAAGATGGCTTGGTTGCGCGCCTTCCATATATTCCATAGTGTTGCAGCAACCAGCTCTAGATTAGGTGAGTTGCTTGACTTTCCTTTCAAACTCCCAAACCAATCTTCAATTCGAGTAAGACCCTGACTTGATATATGAACATTCAGCATAGGGTTCGACCAAATTTCCTTCGTCCAAGGACACAATAAAAACAAGTGCTCCACAGTTTCCACTCCTCGATTGCATAAAGAGCATGTGGGATCAGGTATAACTTTTCTTCGAAATAAATTCTCTTTAGTTGGGAGAGCATTCTGGCATAAATTCCACATGAAAATTCTAACCTTGGGTGGAGAGCGTAATTTCCATATATCTGTCCAAAGGGTGGGAGGAGGTTGAAAAGAAGTTGAGGCTTGATTTTCATTCTGTTTATTGGCTTTCTCTCGAACATAGTTGTATCCACTTTTAACTGTGTACTTGCCTGCTTGAGTTCTAGTCCATACGAGCCGGTCTTTCTCTGTTTGGGGTTTAATCGGGATAGAAAGGATTTCTCTCACTAATTGATCCTCAAAATGTTCAGTTAAAACTGTTTCATCCCATATGCCTTCCTCACTAATAATGAGTTCAGAGACATACCGTGGTTCATTTCTATTAGCAGGACCTCCTATGATTCCCCTCTTCAGCCATTTGTCCTCCCTGATTCTTATCTGTGAACCATCCCCTACTGCCCACAGCACTTGGGGTGAGATGGAGTCTCTTCCTAGGATCAGACTTTGCCAACCCCATGAGGGGCGTTGTCCCTTTTCCGCATGCCAGAAATCTCTATGAGGAAAATAAAGGCCCTTAAATAGAATGCTCCAGAGAGAGTTTGGACTGTTACTCAGACGCCAAGCTTGCTTTCCTAACATTGCTTTATTAAAGGAGAGCAGATCTCTAAATCCCAGGCCACCCTTATCCTTTCTTGTTTTCAGAACATCCCATCTCTTCCAGTGAATTCCGGCTTTGGTCTCATTGGTTTTCCACCAGAATGAAGCAATTTTCTGTTCAATAGCCTTACAAATAGAAATCGGGATCTTAAAAACAGACATGGCATATTGCGGTAATGCTTGAACCACCGCTTTAAGCAAAACTTATTTACCAGCTTTTGACATTAGTTTTTCCTTCCACCCTTCTAGTTTGGAATTGACTCGTCCTAAAATCCAAGCAAACATTTGTTTTTTCGATACTCCCCAATCCGAAGGAATTCCAAGATATTTGCCAGTTTTGTCAATAATAGGTACTCTCAATTCCCTTGCCATATTGTCTTTCAGAGTTTGGGGGCAATCACTACCAAAGAAAATCCCCGATTTGTTTAAGTTTATAGCTTGTCCAGATGCTAGGCAATATTGATTCAGGGTAGGTGCCAAATTCTGACACTCTATAATTGTACCATTCAAGAAAAATATTGAGTCATCCGCAAAGAGTAAATGAGAAAGGGTAGGACACCACCTGTTCAGTTGAATCCATGTGATACTTCCATTGTCCACAGCTGTCTTCATTAATGAGGACAGTACATTTGCCACCAGAATGAAAAGGTAGGGAGATAGGGAATCCCCTTGCCTAATCCCTCGAGAAGGTTTGAAGTAATGGAGAGGTTCTCCATTAAACTTAACGCTGAATGAAACTGTTGTGACACATTTCATAATCCATCCTACCCATTTCTCATCAAAGCCAATCTTGATTAGGCATGCCTCCAAGAAATCCCATTCCACTTGATCATAGGCTTTCTTCATATCTAACTTGAGAACCGCTTGAAATTTCTTTCTTCTCTTTCGAATTCTAATTTGATGCAACACCTCCTGGACAATAAAGATGTTATCTTGAATTTGCCTCCCGCCGACGAAAGCACTTTGTTCCATTGCAACAAGTTCTGGTAGAAGTGGTTTGAGTCTATTGGCCAGCACTTTTGAGATAATCTTGTAGCCAAAATTACATAAACTAATTGGGCGGTATTGATCTAGTCTCTCTGGGTTCGGGACTTTCGGGATAAGGGAGATGTGTGTTTTATTTAAATCTGGTGGCAGGGATCCAGTGTTGAAGAAATTCCTCACCTCCTTTAGAATATCCCATTTAATCTCTTCCCAATTCTACTGATAAAACAAACCATTAAGGCCATCAGGCCCCTGTGCTTTTGCTGCGCCAAGCTGGAAAGTTCCATTCGTGACTTCTTCCAAGGTTGCCTCAGCCAACAAGAGGTGATTCATCTCTTCTGTTACCACCAGAGATACCTGATCCAGAACTGGGGAGAAATTTCGAGGGCCGATAGATTGATATAGATCTCGAAAAAAGAGTATAGTATGTTCTTTCAACTGGCACTGCTCAAATAGCCATGTATTCTCTAAATTCTGAAGCATAGAGATCCTATTCCTCTGTCGCCTCTGAATGGTAGTTGCATGAAAAAAATTTGTGTTTCAATCTCCCCATTTCAACCAATTAATTCTCGATCGCAGCCCCCAATACATCTCTTCCTGCCTCCATAAATAATCAATATCTTCTTACAGGTTTTTGATTCTGACTTTGTCAAAGGACCCCATGGTATTGTTTGTCAGCCACTGCAGTTCCTGTTTCAGCAAGTTGATTTCCTTATGTCCATTCGCGAATTTCTTCTTACTCCATTTGGAAAGAGCAAAAGTTACCGCCTACAACTTCCCGACTAAATCCTTTTCAAAGTGAGTGGGAGAGCTCCAAGTTTCTTTCACCACCTTTCTACATTCATCACTCTCAAGCCAGAAGGCTTCAAACTTGAAGTCCTTTTTTCGTTTAACAGGGTTAGCCCAAAGAGATAGAAGTATAGGACTGTGATCTGATCCTATTGCTGGGAGAGCATAAGCTTCCGCTTCAGGGAACATCAACCTCCATTCAATCGTACATACCACCCTATCAAGTCGTTCTTTAACATACTCGTCCCCTTTTCTATTATTAGCACAAGTGAACGCACACCCTTTACTGTCAATGTCTATCAATGAACAGGCCTCTAGACAATCCCGAAAAGCATTCATTCTATAGTTTTCAGCCAAGCGCTTTCCAACTTTTTCCAGTAAAACCGCACCTCGTTAAAGTCACCCAAACACACCCAAGGCAGTACATTCCTGGAACTTATATTTCGCAATTCCTCCCAAAGTTGTAGCCTTTTTTGGTACAAATAAGAAGCATGAACAAATGTAACTCTCATTTCCTTTCCACTAACCACCTCTTTACACCTCAAATTCACAAATTCCTCAGACATTGAGTTTATATCCAGTGAAATTCTTTCATCCCACAGAACAGCCAAGCCTCCCGCCGTGCCCACAAGATTAACTACAAAACAACTTTAAAAGTGGAGTCTTCTCTTTATTCTCTGAATAACTTCAGCCTGATTTTTCGTTTCCATAAGAAAAACCACAATGGGCCTAAAACGAGCCACTAAAGCTCTTAATTCTCGGACTGTCAAGGGTGTGCCCAACCCTTGACAGTTCCAGCATAGTATATTCATGGTTCACTTGGTGGCTTATTAGGGCTAGCCACCAAAGCCCATGCAGCGACTTCTTCAGTCATACGAACATGTGTTTCAAGAAGTTGAGTTTCATCCAGCCAAGTTGGGGTTTTAGGTAGTGAATTGTAAGGACTGAACCTCTTTTGTTTTTTGGTTGATGGAGTTTTTGGTTTCTTACAGCTCTTCTTTCTGTTGCCTTTTGAACTTGTTTGGGCAGGCTGAGAATTCAAGCATTTTCCATGAGTAGGGCCTGTAATCAAAAGTGCTCTTTTACCATAATTATACAGTGTTATCTCCTGCGTGTAGTAGGGATCTGTCCTCATGTGATCTCCCTGTTGTATATTGGAGTTAATAGTGGGAGAGATGGGCTGAACATCTTCCATAACCGCATTTTGCCTTTGGTGCTCAGGAGTTTTAGGGATATTCTCTTCAATTTCTTCTACCATAGATTCCTTGTTGTAGAAAACTTTCCAAAAGGGACTGTGCCCTGTAGTTTCAGCTTTCAGCCAGCTTCCAAAACAACTTCCCAACTCTATCGTAAATTTTTCTTCATCGTAGGGAATGTCTTTGCAGTAATTAGCACAGTGTCCAATCTTCCCACACGAGTAACAAAAGAAAGGCAGCCTTTCGCATTTAAAATCAAGCCAGACCTTCCTGTTTTGGTGTCGCATCAATTGTCCAACTCTCAGTTCAGTATCCATGTCCATTTCGACTCTTGCTTTCCCAATTCTTTGAGCTGCAGGGCCTCGAGCATCTATTTTCACTTCTAGTACCTTCCCTATCGAGCTAGCAATTTTCTTTACCATACCTTCAGAATTCCATTCAAGAGGGAGTCAAAAAATTCTAACCCAAAAGGCACAGGTCTTGAACTCATAACAATGGAGAGGAGTATCCGGTTCCCAGGGTTTCAAGAGCAGTAAATGATTAGAAAAAGACCAAGGACCTCCTTCCAGCACTCGATTCTTTTCTCCTTCATTACGAAATGCAAAACTGAACTTGCCATTTTCGAGGGGTTTGACCTCCACATACTCATTCCTCCAAGCCTTCTTCATAGCTGTTTGGAGTGCTTGGAAATTTACGCTAGGGTTTTGGAAAAGTTGCCCGATAAGAGAGACCCGACATTCCATGATTTTTTCCTTTGAAAGTTCCTCATCTAGAATATTCATATCATTTTCGTACATTAACTTACCCAGTTTATTGCAGAGATGTGCCAAACGCTCAGCAGCACCTTCTTCCTCATCCATCATCAACGTTGTTTAGTAGCTCGAAACCCTATTGAAAATGGGACACAAAGCCTGGATGCATTCACCGGTAGTAGAGGTCAACAGGTCCAGAAAGCCAAAAAATCGCAGAAGGAGCCAAGAAATTTGTGGAGGGCAACATGGGTGCGAGACAAAGTTGAGAGAATGGGAAACGATTTGTGGGCAGGTGTCAAAGGTGGGGGACAAAGCGGAGAACCCAAGCGCCGAAGACACGCAGATGCTTCAATGGTTGTGGGATAGGGAAGAAGCTGTAGAAGAGAACTACGAGTTGAAACACAGATGCAAAGTGAACACTGGGAAACTTAATGAAGTGAGTAGAGAAAGCAGGAAATCGGGCTAAATCATGGTGGAAGGTTGGGGCTTTTGGTAGGGTTTGGGTTAGGGTTTAAGGTATAGGAAGCCATAGCTACACAAAGCGGTAGAGAGGAGCTACACAGAGCGGTAGAGAGGAGCGGCGGATGGAAAGTTCCCCTTGATTAAACGCTAGTGTTGTTGTACACAAGCATAACAAAATGGAATAAATATGTAAGGAAAACATTAATGTAAGGAGAAATTGGAGCCTGATGAAATTGAACATTAATGTTATAAAGGGTAATTTTGATTGGAATTAAAAATAAAACGAAATATTATTTTGTCTAGATAGATCGGTGTTCTTTATTTACCCTATGCAGTAGGCCTTACTAGCCAAAATTGGTAGGCTCATATAAGGACAAAAATGGTGTGCTATGTAGAGCTATGCAATCGGACTGATTCTACCTGGGAATCGGACCGGACCGCCCTGAAAATCGGTCAGGTTTCAGGTTCTAAATTTTTGGAACCGGTGGGAATAGGTTCGGATTCCGGTACCAAGTGGAGAACTACTCGAGAATAGGACTGATCGTACCAAATTTGGAACTGGTTTCATAAAGCCTAAAAAACTCTAATCTTTCCCATGACATCTTTTCCTCTATCTCGCTCTTTTTCTCTAGTCTCTCCAACCTCACTTTAACACTTCACGACTCTCTCTCTCTTGCTCTTAACTCATCCTCCTCGCTCGCTTGCAGCTCGTTCGAGCCTTGCAACCCTTGTTCATTCCTGACTCGCATTTGCTCGCTCGCCCTCGTTTTGAACCTTTTTATGGCTCATATTATTTTGCTGTAAAAAATGAAATCAAAAAAAGGAACAAAAGAAAAACAGGTTCTCGAGAATACAAAGTAGGTTCCACGGCAAATAGGGTAAGTTTCAGGTTCCAAAAACTGGGAATTGGTTCCAACAAGGTAGGTTATAGGTCCCAGGTTTGGAACCTACTTACCTTGAAACCGATCACCCTTAATGCTATGTAACGATGATATCAGACATATTGACGTGTTATCAATAATTCGCTAATTGTACATGTTTTAGCATTTGCGTATTATTATATTTGCTATAAATAGAGACACTCGATTTTTTTCTTAAATAATGTAAAAAAGATTGATTAGCCGATGATACAATCTAAAAATTGTCACGAAATAAGCATTAGATTATACAAGTTTATCTAAAGTCCACTTAATTTGAAATTGATTTAAGAAAGGGAAGAAGCCACCAAAAACTTCAAACTACGCCACTGTGACACTTTTATTCTGAACTTTTGTCTGTGATATCAAAAATCACAAACTATACCCACTATGACCAATTTAGCCTAAACTTTTTGTCGTGATGTAAAAAACCTCAAACTTGTATCTACGTGACATATTTACTCCCCCTCAAATGATTTTTCAATCAAAACAACGTCGTTTTTATTTCACTTAAGCCATTTGGATGCCATGTCAACACTGTTTACTTTCTAGCAAAAATTTAGGTAGATTTTTAACAGTACTCATTGACGGAACCTTGATGAACAGTAAATATGTCACACATATATAAGTTTGAGATTTTTGGTGTCACATGAATAAGTTTAGAGTAATATGTCACCGTAGGCATAATTTGGGATTTTTGGTGACTTTTTCCCTTTAAAAAAAACGATAACAACATAGCTATTCATAAGATTTAATTTATTACCCTATTGTTTAACAAATTGTTTTTACTTTTACAATTTAAATAAATTTAAATAATTTGAGTTTTAATTTAGTCATTCAAAAGATTGAATGAAAATGACATTAAATAACATCTAAGGATAAGGAAATCCAGATACTGAATCCATGGAATATATTTTAAGGACCTTTATACCGTACTTGACAATGTGTAAAATTTTCTTTACATAAGCAGGCAATCAAGACGCGTGGTTATTATATGTGAATATGGACATGTATCTTGATCATAAGCTCTCGCTTGTATCTAGAAAATTTACACTGGCCATATTTCTTTAGTAAATCCTTATCTATTGATCGATATAAATACTAACAGTAACAATGACAAATATAAAAATCACTTTTTTCTTTGAAAAAATCAAATTTCAAAAGTTCTGTTGGATTAAGATAAGATAAGCTTTATAAACACTCTGTTCAAGGAGCTCCGGGTAAATTCAAAAGGAAAAAAGTCATAAAAAACCTCAAACCTTGCCTACTGTGGCATATTTAGTCTGAGCTTTTTTTTATGTGACATCAAAAACCCAAAATCCAAAATTATGTCCATTGTGACATATTTATCCTAAACTTTTCTTATAACATAAAAAACCTCAAACTTCTACCTATGTGACACATTTACCCTCCATCAAGGTATCGTTAGATGATTTTTCAGTTGTTTTTTTTTTACTTAAGTCACTTGGTACCATGTCAACATTGTTAGCTTTTTTGCGTCCATATAGGTAGATTTTTAACAGTTCTTATTGACAGAACTTTGACGGAGGGTAAATGTATCACACAGGTACAAGTTAAGGATTTTTAGTGTCACTAAAAAAGTTTATAGTAAATGTGTCACAGTTGGCACCATTTAGGGCTTTTTTGTGGCTTTTGCCCAATCTAAAAAATTGAATCCTCAAAGATCGTTATATGACTGACTAAAAAACCCTGATAAGCTTGTGTTTTCCCCCTATTCCTATACGCATCATCAGATACATTATCAGTGCAAGTCTCTTTTGCTCGTGAGAACCTGATGACACAGAGGCAGACTAATGGGAGAGGCGGACAAATGGCGAATTGGGCGCAACTCCGGCAAGAGCTCCCACGCTCGTCGCTCAACAGCTAGCCATTGAAGACTTCTTGCCCGTCTTCTGCTCAAGTGTGTACTTCATGGCGGTCCGTCCCCGCCAAAGAGCGGTACGATGCGAGGACGAAAGCCCCATTGGCTCATGACTCTTGTGGGCATGCCACCCCCAACATGAGTTCTCGAGCTTCTCCAGAGGAACAGGGCACAAAGTACCCATGTCAGAATGTGTTGAACAAGGACAAAATAACCATACCCCCCAAAAGAAAAGCTAAAGAAATGAACTCAAACAGATAACATGGGAAATTAACCACACCCATCAATAAAAAAGAATACGAGAGAGAGAGAGAGGGTCCTAATGTCTTTTGGATGGGAACGGGTAGAGAGAGAGAAAGAGAGCATGTGGTCCTATCTAACACTGATAGCTGCCCACGAGTTACCACTTAACCTAACATGATTGATGCATCATGTAACCGAGGAAAAGTAGAACTTCGTTTCCTCTTCTGTTTTGTTCTTTCCCCTTGTTCTCTTCCTCTCGTTCCTGGCTCTCGTAATGATGTTAGAATTTCGATTTCCAAACCTAATATGTGTCTTGCGTCGCCATTTCCGGTGTCGAAGTTGGTTCTCTGGAGAAGAGCGAGTCAAAAGTCAAGAATGAAATAGGGCAACTTTCCTTGTTTGTTCAGCACCAAACGATTTCAGTGAGTGTCGCTAAATGTCAAAGCTTGGATAAAGAAAAGTAACAATTTTTTTTCTAGATAATTTGTTAGTAACTTATAACACTTTTATGAAATTTTAAAACTTTTATAGTTTGCAATATGAGTTTTTGTACTAACTTATAAGTTTTTATTCGCATAACTTACTGACACTTTGAATTTGCGAACTGTTATATATGATTACCAACTTAAATTAGGGGTGAAAATTATCCAAAAAGTCCTAAATCTATAGTACAAAGGTTGAGTCAGTTCTAAACCTTTCAATTGTATCAATTTAGTTCAAAACATTTTTGATGATTTGCTAATTTAGTCATAAAATTTTTGACGATTTGCCAATGTAGTCCTACTGGCCAAATATCCAAATAATTGGTTTAAGACTAATTTGGCAAATCTTCAAAAGGTTTAGGACTAAATTGACAAAAAAAAAAAAGGTTTAGGACTGTTGGCTGGTTTACTCCCATGTGGAGGAAGCCCAATGAATTTCAAGCCTAAGGCTTGAGTCCATATGTCTATTCATATGGAGAAATAGGGTTTCTCACTATCTTTTATGTTGTAGCCGCAAAAGAATGTTTTTTGAGAGACACAGTAACAAGAGAAAAAGAAAGAGCAAAAAATATGGGTTTGAGGAAGAATCTGATGCTGACGTCGGAGGTCGATTCGTGATCTGATTGAGCTAAAATTTTGTCAGCGTGTTCGTGCCGCGTTCTTCTCGAATCTGATTTGATTTGATTTTCACTTGAAGCTTCCTACATCGGGTTTTCGTGGGTTGCACCAAAAGTGCTTTTTTGGTGAGATTTATCCTTTATCTCTTGTGAAGTTTAGGTCTATTGCCAAAAATGATGTTCTTGATGTCTTTGCTGCTGTGTACCTCTAGTATTTACTAGAGAAAAACTTTGTTCACCCAATTTTGCTGATAGTGAAGATTTTTGGGTGGATTCCGGTCCCTTGGTTTTTGATCTCCTCACACTGAAGAGGTTTTTCACGTAAAAAAATTGCCTTGTGTTTGCGTGCTTGGTATTTATATTCCTCGATTCAGTTGTTTCCTATTAGGTTTGCACAAGAGGGAGATTATTTTGTTCCGCTGCGCTAATCCGATATTGTTCAGATTGTTATTGTTCTCCCAATAAAGCGGTATCAGAGTATTGGTTCTTACTGGATTTTTCTACCTTGTGTTAAACGATGGAAATGGATACTAGTGGGATGGTTACATTGAATGGTTCGAATTATCACGTTTGGAAAGGAAAGATGGAAGACCTTTTGTATGTGAAGGATTATTATTTACCTGTGTTTGCTAATGAGAAATCCGAGAATAAAACTGATGCTGAATGAGCTATATTTCATAGTCAAGTGCGTGGTTACATTAGGTAGTGGGTGGATGATAATGTTTTGAACCATATCATTGAGGAAACATATGCACGTAGTTTGTGAAACAAGCTCGAACAATTGTATGCTCGAAAGACTGAGAATAACAAGTTATTTCTGATAAAACAGATGATGGCTCTAAGATATCAAGATGGTACTTGTTTGACTGATCATTTAAATTCTTTTCAAGGAATTATAAATCAGCTGGCTGCGATGGGTATCAAGTTTGATGATGAGATACAAGCTTTATGGTTGCTTGGTACTTTGCCGGAC